ATACTGTTGCATGAACTAACTGCCTTTGGCCCCATCTGAGTCTAAACACATGCACTGATTGGTTAAATTGAGAGAAAGAAGAAAAACAAAATGGTGCAAAATTAGTAACGTGCCGTGCAACCACAGTGCTTCATTCCCAAAAAAAAACATGAAGTGCCAAATCCGCCATTAAAATCCTAGAACCAAAATTCAACTTAGGACTCAAAGAATGTGAAAATAGTTCTGGACTTCCAAGAGTCCAGAACTGTTCTAGATTTGAGTGCTACTAAGCAAAGCCCTACGTACGAATAAAATGGGAGAAAATACTAGGCATCACAATTAAATTTTTAGTCACCATGGTGACATGGCACCCAGGATTTGTCGAAGCCTGACATAAGCACTGATCTGTAATATTGTTATAGTATTTCTATGTAATATGAATTTTACTTGTTTTTGTTGTTCATTTTGTTATCAACGCTTGATTCAACTTATTGAAAATATGATACTGTGTTTTGGTTTGATTCTTATTTCATTTTTCCTTTGAAATGACTGAAAAACTTTCACTTGTAAAGATTTTATTCACATTATTAGTTTAGAGGTATTCTTTTTCCCTCTGTAATAAGCAGTTTATTAATCTCTGTTAATGTTTTTCTTCATTCTGTGACTTAATCAAATCTTATCAGTACAGATCAACCTTTCTCTATGAATTTAATTAAAAGTGCTTGTTATTCCACTGTTCCAAAAAAATTCTCAGTTTGATGTTTATCTTGTCACTCAAAACTTCTTGTTACTAATTAATATACAAGAGACCAGAAGAAAGTTTTGGTACTCAGAAACTTTTGTTTCAATATAAAGAATAAATGTTTGGTCTAGAGGAAGTAATTGTATCTGTTTAATCTGACTATTTCCATATCAAATACTGAGACAAGTATTAGTAAATTTCAGTTTATTTAGTCTTAGCTCATTTCTTTTTAAAGATGATTTAGGTTTTATCTTCCCTATGTTTTAATTTTTAGTTAATCTAGTTTTTACTTTTAAGAAATTAGAATATATCTGAAAACCTATATATGTTTTTGTTTTATATTTGAGAAATGTTAAGCCTTTATAAATATCACTTGTTGCCGACAGTTTAATGTAATTTTCTAAAATTTTCAGGCACCCAGACAAGAACAGAGAGTCAGGTGCAGAATCCAAATTTATTGAGATCAACAAGGCATATCAAGTAAGATTTTTGTCACTATGTTGCTCTAACACTATCTGTACCTCAGGAATTCGTATATATTTCCATGTTACATTTCCTGACACTTTCAATGTGCATTTGTAAAATATATTAACTACCGTTAATTGAAATGCTATTTTTTGTTCAATAATGGGATGTTTTGCAGAATGTTAAAAATATTTTTAATTATCAACAATATTTTATTACAAGTTACAAATTTTATAGTAAGGAAGATTATTTTTTAGAACAGGTACAATGTTTCGATCATTCTCAAGTACACAAGTTTTAACCTTCTTTAATGGTGTAATTTATAATCAGTAAGTAAACTCAAAACTTCACCTTGTTCTAATTTGTTATCCTGAATTTGTAAATTCTACAGTAAAATGTTTGATATTTTGATGAATTAGAAATTTAAAATGTAATATTTGTATCCACATGAATGTCATTTTCATTGACTAGACAAAGATGTTTCTTTTAAACCTCAGGCAGTGCTTTTTATTTCCTTGTTAAATTATTCAGAATACCCAAATCTTTCAAGTTTAGAGGCAAATAATGTTTTTTTAATTTCTGAAATTAAGTGGTTTGTATGGATTTTTTACTTCAATGAACCTTTCTTAAACAGTAATGAAAAAAAAGAATGATCCAAACCATACTGATTTTGATAGTTTAATTTTTAGAAATAAAGTAGTATTTTAAATTCACTCTAGGTAAAGCTATCAGGAAGATTAGATTCCCTCAAGTAAAGTTGCATTTTCTCATGAGTTGTTATTTTATTTAATCCATACAGTATATTCTCTTTCATTGGTCATGACTAAAGGAATACGGATGTACCGTGCATTCCTGATTGGGAAAGCCAACTAAAAAGATGAAATTCCTCAGGAATGTGGGAATGTAATATTTCGATCCCTCTTGATTGTGGCTCTTAAATTATAGAGGATGCAGAATATATGAATTTAGATAATTTGAAACATCTGTAGTTGGTCACAGGTTTCTTTTTATAGGAAATGTCCGTTATCTTTGTTTTCTGTTCCACTAATCGTTTCTGTCAGTAAAACTTGCTGCTGTCATTGTTGTTTGTTTTCAGTTGGAATTTCAGTAACCAGCAAATTACTAACTTGTGATAAACCATTCACTGCTGGCAGAAGTACATATTGCATCATATTGAGCAATTTTATGTGTGTTCCTGTTACAATACTCGTTTGTAAAAATTCACATTTGTATAACATTCGTAATTTACATTTTCATCATGAAGATTCAATACAAATATAATGTTCTTAAAGATACTTTTATCATGAATATTTGTGTATATCTAATACTCTTAGCATACACTTTCATTGTGAGGATTCATGTGTATATAGTAGTCTTACCTTACACTTTCATCGTGAGGATTCTCATATATATGATATACTTAATCTATACTTTCATCATGAGGATTCATGTCCATATGATTTTCTTAATCTACACTTTCATTCTGAGGATTCTCATATATATGATATACTTAATCTATACTTTCATCATGAGGATTCATGTCCATATGATTTTCTTAATCTACACTTTCATTCTGAGGATTCATGTCCATATGATATTCATAATTAACACTTTCATCCTTAGGATTCATGTCCATATGATATTCATAATTAACACTTTCATCCTGAGGATTCATGTCCATATGATATTCATAATTAATACTTTCATAATGAGGATTCATGTCCTTATGATATTCTTAATCAACACTTTCATTCTGAGGATTCATGTCCATATGATATTCATAATTAACACTTTCATCCTGAGGATTCATGTCCTTATGATATTCATAATTAACACTTTCATCCTGAGGATTCATGTCCATATGATATTCATAATTAACACTTTCATCATGAGGATTCATGTCCTTATGATATTCTTAATCAACACTTTCATCATGAGGATTCATGTCCAAATGATATTCTTAATCTACACTTTCATCATGAGGATTCATGTCCATATGATATTCTTACTCAACACTTTCATCCTGAGGATTCATGTCCTTATGATATTCTTAATCAACACTTTCATCATGAGGATTCATGTCCATATATTCTTAATCAACACTTTCATCCTGAGGATTCGTGTCCATATGATATTCTTAATCAACACTTTCATATGAGCTAGTCATCGTTAAAATTGGCTGTCAGTAATCAGTCAAGTGTGAGGAACATCATCACAGTATAAAGAACTGACTAAATAATTAGCTAAAACCACTATTGTCGATGTGAAATACATAGGAAACCCCCATGATAATTTGTGGTATTAATTGCAATATTGACAGTATTTTTGTTTGAATTTTTTTAATGGCTGGTATGTTATTAGGCACTGTGTAACCAACAACATTGTGTGCCCACCAGCAATGTGGTACATAAATGGTCTTTTGTTTGTAATTGTAAAGAACTGATTACACTAAAGAGCATATCAATGTATCTTTTGATGAATTCTACTGCCATCTTCTGTTATATCAAAAGGAGGAAGTCATAAATTCAAACTTAGATTTCAATATTTTGTAAATGTTATTAAGAATATTATTATGAATAATTTTAAGAACCCTCGTGGAAAAGCTCTTCCACAACATATAGGAGACTTGCATGTGGAACAATAATCAGAGGATTTGCCCAGAATAGACACAATGATAAACTTTTATTTTCATGCTCGCTGATTAATACTGAGAAATTTAATGTTTTTAGATTACTACAAAATGGACAAGTAGTAACATCAGATGGATTTTCTGTATCTTACCAAATTTTCTAATTAACTTTCTTGTACAACCATTTTGAGTGGTGAATGTTTTTTATTGATTTCAGCTGCTCATGGATCCTCAAAGAAAAGAGCAGTTCGATCGGCATGGAACTGTTGAAGACAGTCCAAACTTTAGACAGCAACCTGACTATAGTGGATTTAGAAGATTTGAATTTGATCCTTTTGACTCCTTTTTTAATCATGGAGGATTTAAGTTTCAGTTTTCTTTTAATCAAGGATCAGTTTATCATAAATACACAATCACTTCAAGGTAAAACAGCATCTGAGTAATTTCTTGATTTTTCAGTATTTTTTAAAGAAAAATATTTATTGGTTTGTTTGTTCTACATAGGTAATTTTCAAAACTAAAGTGGTCTCTTAAATTAGTTTATTTAATTCATGGATACTTGAGTATGGAAGCACATTATGCTAATATAATAATAAGTTGAAAAATAAAGACAAATGTTTTGGCAAAACATGTAGTACGTTCCGACAAAAATAAATCACTTTATTATGCTTATAAATTTTTGTTTTGCCAACTCGTAGATGGCTGTTGGTTCATATGTAGTATTTGAATACAGTACTGTATATGAAAAATATTAATACCTACTGCTATACCATGTTTCCATCAATAGTAGAAAACTCATTTTTATTATTGTTTATTGATAGTTCTACAGTTTTTGATTCTGCTGATTTTATCGTGAATGAAGTGATAATATTATTTATATGTGTTTTTAGGTTCTTTTTGATAATTTATAATACTGATAAATAAGATTTTAAAAGCAAGTTTTTATCTTTTTATCAGCCATATGTTAAAAATATATAAAAAATAATCACTGAAACACCATATCTGACTTTTACAGTTCTTAACAAAATAATTTTTATCATTATTTTCTCTGTTAGCTTGTAACAATAGTAAGTTTCTGTTTAAATGCCATTGAAAAAAATCTTTAACTGAATGTGCATGGGGTCTTACATTATAATCTGAATTTATGATATATATCTTCACAAAATTTGGAACATTTTTTGCTGATCTCAAAAGGTATGACTGTGAAATGAAGTCAGTCTGACTCAGACTCTGACAAGTCAAACGCAAGGTGATGTTCGTGTGAAAAATAAAAATACTTTTGTCCATCATACACTTAGTTACTTTTACTTGCAGAACATCTACAACTTCCTAAATGCATATCTTAAGTTTTTTCATGGTATTCCTTTATATTGTATCTGATATTTTCTCTACTCTAACAAGAACTGTTGTGAAATTAGCACTGTAGGGTAACTTGAAAAGGTGATGAATCCAATGCTTGATTTGAGGCGGGACTAACTGGAATGCCATTCCAGTTGCTAACTCTTTTTATCAAATCATTCCTGTTGTTAAATTACTCAAGCAGATTTGTGCAGCATGGGACTGCTGTTCAAAAATTGGATATCAAACCTGACCATTCCACTTGTTAATTTTTTACAACTCAAGCACTGGATGACTCTGACATCAAATTCATGATACCATTTTGAATGTCACTTTGTACAAGATCAGGATAAACATAGGGTTAAGTAACTGGCAAAATATGATAGAATTAAATTGAATTAAAAACTGTCATTGCAGTGTGGTGCCTAAAATATCTGTATCCTATGTTGTAGAGAAGAATATACAGAAATTGTTTCTAGTATAAGGATAGCGGATAAAAATATATACAAGTTTTACAAGATCACTGCAGCAATTCCTATTATATTATAAAGTACTTACTTAGTACTTTAATCTGAAAGGTTTTTTTGTGGGATAAGAACATTAAATCATAATAAACTTTTTTCATTGATAACAAATGTAATGTTCTTTTTTGATATCATGTTAATTTTCAACTTCTTTAATAATTTATATGAAACAATCTAAATTATGAAGATAAACACTTATAATAGGAAAAGTATGCTATGAAAATACTGTGGTTAATATGATTTTACATAGTTGTGTAACTTTAATTCTGGACAATTATTTTAGGACATATGAAAACCACATAATTCCAGGAAGTGTGAGAAAACCATATCTGATCCTCTTCTATAGTGATCTTTGTTTACCTTGTATTCATGTTGAACCTGTCTGGCAAAAGGTAGCATCAGAACTAGAACCAATAGGTATGTAAATAAAAAAAATAGGATATAACTTTGACAGAGGGCTTCATTTTACATTTATTTGACATAACCATGAGTTTATTTTACTGTAAAATTTTTGTACTAGAGGGCTTCATTTTACATTTATTTGTAC